CCTCCATTCCTTCCTCCATTCCTGTAATTCTCTAGTGGCTGATGTACAGGCTAAAGACAACATATTTTGGGGAAGAAAGGAAGGGGATGGGGGAAGAGGGGACCMTRAYTGGAACAGCAGAGGCACAGTGRRCAGCTCTGTCAGCCATCACAAGTGCATTGAGGCATTAAGCCTTTTCTCCAGGCTGGGTGAAAGGCACAGGGACAGTGACAAGGTACGTTAAAAACAAGCTCACAAATGTCTACCTAAGCAGATGTTTTCCTAGAACTGACAGCTCTTGGCTTCAAAGTAACTTCTATCCCTTATTTTCAGGTTTGAAGGATTTCCCCAGAAACCTCAAAGGCCATGGGCTCTGTGTATACTAACCTGTATATATATATATATATATATATATACAGGTTAGTGCTAACTGAGGGCTATGAAGTTAATTTGGAAATCCTTTCAGCAATATCAGCTTATGAAATTGTACCCAGTGTTGCAGCTCTGTCCCTTTCTGAAGCTCTCACTGTCAGTCACCCCAGATGAATCCAGGCTGTAGAAGTCCTTGACACAGRCCAATGTGGTGTAAATGAGAAACACATCAGCAGTAACTGGGAGTSAAGTACAGTTGGCAKTGAAAGGAAACAAGAAGCAGACAGGAGCAGGGGTCAGTGTGTAAAGATTGTGTCAATCCTCAACTTTCTACCACTGTCAGCTGTAGAAGTGCTGGTATTCAGAAGCAGAGCATTGAACCTAATGGGATCACAATGTTTTCAAGGGAAAGCTTGTCAGTGGAGTTCCTTGGGGTGACGGGAAGTGATAAGGATTGGCACTGTCTGCTTGGTCTAGGCTTGCAGAAGTCACTGCCAGAGACTTTTGCATCCGTACAGATGCTCACGSTGCTGGGAAGTTGAAACCGACCATTCTGTCATTTGCTAAACCCATGACAGCAATATCCAGAGRGCTCTCAGCTTACCTGACTCTCAARTGCAGCCTCASCAGCACACTAGCTCTTCCCTGGAAGTCAAGCCTGATTCCAGTGTCACTAGGGAGCGTTGATGAGCAGAACCTGTCAGAGTTGTCTGCAGAGAGC